TTTAAAAAATATTTACAATGTGTGGAATGACCTTGCGGATTCAAATCCGGAGGGCTCCATTAAATCGTAATTGCAAAACAGAATAAAAAAATATTTTCCGATTATTTTGAATTGTCGTAAAAATTCTATTTTTTTGTGTTTAAGGAGGTCCTTTCGCCACCAATGTTAAATAAAAAATATTAGATTATGACTAAAATTATTTTTTTTCTAATAGTAGATGTCCTTATTTATCTAATAGTGAACTTTTAACTATACCTTACCGTGCAAATTTTTGAGAAAAATTTTTTTTTTAAATGTGTGTGTTTGTACAGTGTCTTATGAGAAAGTAAGAGTTCAACAACAATTTTCGAATTATAATTAATTTTACTATTATTTATTGATTAGATGGAGTAGAAAAAAACTAAAAATAAGGTTTTTGAAATATTTAGGTTTTGTTTTTTACAGTAAAATATATAGGTTACCGTGGAATTTATTGAGAAATTATTATTAAAAAATCACAAAAAATTTTCAACTAGGTTACCTGAAAATTTTTTGTGATTTTTTAATATTAATTTCTCAATAAGTTCCACGGTTTACTATGTATATTTTATTGTATAAAACAAAATCTAAATATTTCAAAACCTTATTTTTAGTTTTTTTCTACTCCATCTAATCAATAAATAATAGTATAATTCGAGAATTGTTGTTGAGGACTTACTTTCTCGTGAGGCACTGTACAAATACTCATATTTAAAAAAAAATTCTCAAAAATTTGCAAGGTAAGGTATAGTTAAAAGTTCAGTATTAGATAAATAAGGACTTCAACTATTAGAAAAAAATTAATTTTAGTCATAACCTAATAACTTTTTTTTTAACATTTGAGGCGAGAGTTGTGGCGAAAGAACCTCCTTAACTCACGATTGTGACGCCATTTTCCAATATTTTTTAAAATTTTTGTACTAGTCGAAAGCCTAATCATTGTAGATTTGAGCGTATGTCCAGAAAATTAATATTTTTTATATAGAATATGTCAGATTATTTAAAAAAAGGTGCGGTACCAAAACAGAGGTGACAATTTCAGCATCGAGAAAAATTTTTAACGGATGAAGCTAGATTTATGAATAATCGACGAAAAATGTGCCCAAATGAGTGGAAAAGTTTTTGGTGAAAAGAAATTTTCACAAGTGGTAATGGTTTCCGATTTATGATTTTGGGGGTTATTATTGACAACCTCTGTTATTTTTAACAGGTGTGTTATTTTATTTTATGCCCCAGCTGCATCTACTCGCTTGCATCGCGGCCTGTCGTACGTGTATAACATCGTCTTTGTTATAACTAAATAACATACAGGCAGAATTTTATAATAAAAAGCATTTATGATTGGAATGGTATGTTTAATTGATTCATAAATTTATTTTTATTTGTACACAAACAACTTTCAGAAAAATAAGAAACAAATATACATCTAACTAAAGTTCCTGGAAATGAATTTAGGAAAACTGGAGAAAACTCCAAATGGCGTATTATTAGAGTGTCTAGTTTTCCTGGATTCATTTCCAGGAACTTTGGTTGGTAAACCCTAGTTTAGGTATGAAGTTCCTGGAAATGAATTTAGGAAAACTGGAGAAAACTCCAAATGGCGTATTATTAGAGTGTCTAGTTTTCCTGGATTCATTTCCAGGAACTTTGGTTGGTAAACCCTAGTTTAGGTATGAATATAAATTACAATATTTTTTTAAGTTTCTATTTTCGCAAAATAAAATATGTAGGTATAAACAGGGTGTCCCAAAATTGCTGGGATATAGAGCTACCACGTATTCCAGAGGTCAAAAGTTTCTTATTTTAAAAAAGTTCATAATCCCTAAACCTTATATATACAATTCAATTTTTTTTTGGCCTTTTTTGCTTAAATAATGTAGGGCAGGTCTCGGATATCCATATTTCTACTATTTCTGGGGTCGACAATTTCGGGAAGTAAACACTCCATGTAAAACTGAACCAACCTTTCTTCCATGACGTTTTGCCAAAATTGGTCATCTCGAAATATTGTGGCAGTTTTTATTCCATGAAGTGTTCAACAAGCCAATATGCAATATGATCTACCCGTTATATGTAGTTTCCCCTGAATTTGATGGAACCACTTGTTTTTTATTAATATCTCCATCCGGAGAAAATATTGTAATTTCTTTTAGTTTTTATGGCTTCAGAGGGTGTCATATCTTTAACCGAACATGGACACTTTATTTCCACAATTCCCCTTTCTCCTACCAAGCCGTCAGGTGTGGCAGCCAAAAATGGTAATATTTTGTCAATAAATAAACCAGCAGGTTCAATATTTATGTTTCTTCTTGTTCCTTAGCTTTCCCCATTCAGTAGCTGCTGAAAAAAATGGTTTAGGATACATAATCTTTGTGACTAATGCTTTGCAACTTGTGGATTTCCGTCTATTGCACACTTCCCCAAAATTCGAAGCAGTTAGTCTTTTTCTCCTTTCGATATACTATAAATCGTTGTCGCTTTGGCCAATTGTTTCTTGCTGAAGAAATTCGATTTCTTCATCACTTTTTTTTTAAGAATTTAAAAAATCATTTTTTTTCTTTTATTAAATCTTCTTCGGGAAGATCTGGCTTTTGGCAAAATTGTCCACAGCTTTCGTCGTTATCAGTCTTATTTATTTTTTGTATTCGCTTTTTCTTTCTGATAATTTTCCTTCGTTCTTTAAATTCGAAGATCTTGCCGAACGCCAACTTTTCTTCCAAAGCAAGTTCTCAGTGTATAAAGAGGCTTTCTTGTATTTTTGTTTACCACGGCAGCAAACCATCTTGCTCGATAAGACCTTCTGTGACCATAGTGGATCCTTTTGCTCCCAATAAATTTTGTAATAATTGCATTAAAGGATTCTACTAAATTATTGTCCAAATCATATTTTAGACTAGTTGCATGTTTAACTAAGTAATTTTTATAAAAATTTAGGTTTTCATATAAATCAGACAAACACCAAATTACCCCCTTCACCCACCTCAGCTCATACACGTGTAGTGATGGAGCACTACTCGACTGTAACAAGTCACCTACCGGACTTGTAACTAAAAATACTATTCTTCTATGATACCTGTTAAGCACCTATAATTGTACCATCTCGATGAATCCCAACGTTTTTAATTCTCTGCAAATTATTTATTTTAGTAACCCATTTTAGTTTTTCTATGAGTAACCCCATCAAGAGTAATAAAATTGTAAAAAAGTAGGTACTGTTAGTCAAATTTAAAAATAAATAAGTTTGTTACAATTCTTTTGAGACACCCTGTAGATTAAAAAATATTTTAAAATTTTAGCTCTGTTTAAAATATAGATCTCATTTAAATAGTTTTATTCTATTTCACTAAAATAATCATGCAAATAGATAATCATACAAAAACAAAGAATAATTTAATTTTAATAAAATATACCTAGTCATTGTACCTATCTATTTAAAAATATAATCTGTTTTTCATTGTATTTTTATCCTAATAATTCTGAATACATCCAACTTATTCTCCGCCCATAAATAGTCGAAGAACCTCTGTTTTAAATGGTGTCGCCATATCATATTTTGCGTCAAAATGCCACTTGCAGAGGGTCAGGATCTAAACGATCACGTTTACAAATTTAAATATAAAATTATTTTTTTTTACCTTTGGATTAAGAAAGCATTAATATATGCTCCTATAGAATTAGAAATTGGAAAATTCGTAGCAAGTGTGCAAATCGCAACAAATTGTGGACTAGGTTTGAGATTTAATAACTTTTTCAAAAAATCTAATTCTATAGGAGCATATATTAAGGTTTTCTCAACAATTGACAAAAAAATGAATCTTTAATTTTGTTAAATAAAAAGGTGAGAATTTATATCACAAAGCCTTGCAAACGCGCACAAATCTCAAGCGGATAGTTACCCTTAATTTTTTCCCTAATGATGAAAAGATAAATGGTATGCTTGACATACGTAAAAATATTACTCCATATTTGTAAAACGTATAAAGAAAAATTAACCAAGGACAACAACAATGAACTTTGAATATGAAACGCGGAACTCATTACAGAACTTGAAATTACCCTAAAACACGGCAATTTGTAAACATTATCATCCATACTTAATAACTATAAATTAGTCGCATTAATTATTGAAAATTACTTTAAATGATTGTAACTGATATTTAAAAACTAATTTAATTTCTAATTGCTGCCATTTTGTGACAACGATGAGGCAATGTACACATTTTAATGTACTAGAGTAGAAATTTGCTCATCGAAAAGAAACTACTAGGAAACAAAAAATAAAAATAAACAGAAAACAAAAAGTTAAAAATAATTAATACACTATACTTAAATTAAAATTGTAATTAGGAAATAGAAACAAAACATGTACGTAGCGAAAAAAATTGTTAGGAAAGGGAAAAACAAAGACAAAAGAGAAAAAATAAAAAAAACAAATAAAAATAAATAAAAAAATAAAAAATAAACAGAACATTTAAACCATGTTAAGTTCAGGTTATTTTAGTCAGTAAGGTAAAGCAACTAAAAGTGGGTGACTGAGTCATAATTTATTTGGCTTACTGTGGCTCATTAATGAAGATGGGACTATTTAAAGACGGATCTTTATAGTTTAAACAATATTACTTTACGTTTAATGTATAGTCCTTAACTATATAATTCGCACCTCAAAAGATAAAGAAACTCAGTGTTTTCTCGAAACAAATATATTATTAATGACAGTTAAAAATAGTACGTACAAGCAATTATTTTTTGTTCCTTTTTTAATAATGTTAGGACCTTTCCTAATACATCAAAAACAGTATTCATCATGAAATGCCATTATATACGGATAGATTTGGCAACACTATTAATACTCCAATTTGAAGGGACGAGGTCGTGTCGATGTTTTTGATATTTTAAAGTAGTATAATCTGATTTGGCAATCTTTGGTAATATTCCAAATTTGATTAGTTTTAGAAAGCATACGTTGAAAAAAATTCATTTACCTTTTGAATCACTTCCGGCGTTAAAACATCGTCAGCCGTAACCAGAACCACTTCTTCTTGGTAGCCAACTTCCAGCGACTCCATCAGCCATTCCGAGTCGTGAATAAACGAAGTGTGCGGTGGAACCCATAATTTTAAAGGATTTTTTTCTTGTCTAAACCTAAGAAACCCCAGTGCGCTTAGAACTACGATTAACCAGCACAAAGCGATGGTTCTGAGTGGGTGCTTTCCAACGCAAACTCCTAATCTGAAACGAAATTTGGTTCATTTATAAAAAATTCGTACGTGTATGTTATGTTAATGAACAATATTCCATATTATTCAACATTATTCAACATTATTCAACATTATTCAACATTATTCAACATTATTCAACATTATTCAACATTATTCAACATTATTCAACATTATTCAACATTATTCAACATTATTCAACATTATTCAACATTATTCAACATTATTCAACATTATTCAACATTATTCAACATTATTCAACATTATTCAACATTATTCAACATTATTCAACATTATTCAACATTATTCAACATTATTCAACATTATTCAACATTATTCAACATTATTCAACATTATTCAACATTATTCAACATTATTCAACATTATTCAACATTATTCAACATTATTCAACATTATTCAACATTATTCAACATTATTCAACATTATTCAACATTATTCAACATTATTCAACATTATTCAACATTATTCAACATTATTCAACATTATTCAACATTATTCAACATTATTCAACATTATTCAACATTATTCAACATTATTCAACATTATTCAACATTATTCAACATTATTCAACATTATTCAACATTATTCAACATTATTCAACATTATTCAACATTATTCAACATTATTCAACATTATTCAACATTATTCAACATTATTCAACATTATTCAACATTATTCAACATTATTCAACATTATTCAACATTATTCAACATTATTCAACATTATTCAACATTATTCAACATTATTCAACATTATTCAACATTATTCAACATTATTCAACATTATTCAACATTATTCAACATTATTCAACATTATTCAACATTATTCGACATTATTTAACATTATTCAACATTATTCAACATTATTCAACATTATTCGACATTATTTAACATTATTTAAGATTATTCAGCATTATTTAGCATTATTTAACGCTATTTAACATTATTCAGCATTATTTAGTATTATTCAACGCTATTTAACATTATTCAACATTCTTCAAGATTCAAAGCAAACAGACACGCAAACGAGAACCAAAACACAAACAGGGCCGACAAGAAGAGGGGTAGCCGGGACTAATTCCCAGGGCCCGGGCTCAAGTGGGGGCCCGGCTGCTTTGGGTGAGGACGGTTTTTATTTTTGTAGAAGGACCTTTTTTTGAGAGATTTCACTAAAGAGGAGAATTTTCGCTTGAAGACTTTTTGTTTTTTTTTTTTTTAGAAATGTGATATTGAAATGACTAATTTTTGTATAAAATTGTCGCGGGGCCCGACCTGAAAAATTGTCCCGGGGTTCGACCTGGCTCTCGGCGCCCCTAAACATAAAGGACCCATACGCTAAAAGATCTAATTGTTCACATATACAGTACGTTTAATTATATTTAGATGTGAGAAGCATAAAGAAAGTAACTTGGTTTAATTAAGCCCTTTCGATGGCAAGGGGGATATTGCGATCTGCAGTAGACAAGTATTATTCTATTTATGCCTTTTCAATAGCATTGTTTTTCTACACTGTTATACTAGAATCAATATTGTAAAGTTAACGTAATGTATATTCTAACAGAACAAAATTGTCCACATATTTCCACAAGGAATTGAAGTTACATTGGGCAAAGAGGTACCTAGATGGGTTGAAATTAGATTAAAAGAACATGTAAGAGATAAATATAATTAGTAAATAAAATGATAAAGAAACATATATTAAATTGGTAATTAATAATTATTTAAATTATATAAGATCTATAAATTCAAGTAGTATTCAATATTATAATAAGATAATAATGTTTTAACATTTTGGAATCTCGTAAAAATGGTTGTAGGTAGTAGTAGTAGTCCAAGCATTGTTCTAATAAAACGTCTAGCTTCATAATTGCTATGATTAATCTTATGAATAACACACTATTAATTTCAACTATTTTTTAATACACATTTGTGCAGCGTATTAATGTCTTGACGTAATAATGCGCCAGAGAGGAATTTAGTTACTTTACTTTTAATTGTTATTTGTAATCACAATAAGCAGACGTCGACCTCATATTACTTTTACTATTTATCATAATCAAAGAAATCAACATTAGTTTTGATGTAATTTTGATTAAACAAACGATATTTCAAATTAACAAACTTTAATAATTAGTTAACTGTGATATGAAATAACTGGCGAAAAACTAAAAGTGTAAAAACGCTATAATGCTATAATGGAACTATAAAGTAATACAACTATATTTTTGATCTTTTGATTCCAAAAGCAGCACCGTTTCACCAACACCACCAAGTGCTTCGAGCACCATAAGCGCCAAGCCCGTAAGAAAAAGTAAGCAGCTAGCACTTTGGAACTTCTAAGTGCTTGTAATTACCAATTATCAAAAAAAGTAATTGCACAATTCAATTGCCATACACCATTTACTCAAAACGTGCTTGAAATCATTACTTACAAGTGGTAAATTGCACTTTTTTTCTCAAACAAATTACCAAGCACCAAGCATTGAAATGTTTCATTTTTGTTTTCCCTTTGAGAGTTCAAAAATAATTTTTATTATTCCGTAGGGATAATATTTGGATTTGTTTGGGGATTTCCAAGGAATTTATCATCCTATTTTTGGGATCTTTAACCTAATTGAACTCTTAGAGAAAAAACATTTTGTCAGAGATTTGGGATGTATACTGATCTTGAAAAAAATTATAAATGGTCAAAGTACGAAAATAAAAGTAAAAAATGTGAATGTAAGTTGCCTCAAGGTTTTATTTAAAAAAATATACCTATGTATATATATATATATATTTTTTTTCGCTTAGGTATAGGTATAATAGAATATTACCGGTTTTCAGTTTTTTAAATCCTCCAGTCAAGCACATTTTCTAAAAATGAGATATTGAAAAACACATTATGATTTCATAACATAATTACTGAATAAATCATTATTCATAAGCATTAAAATGATTAAACTTACATATAAATAAATGTTAAATTATTTAAATTAATTTTTATATTATAAACAAAACCTACTACCTATTTTCAAAATACATGTAAAAATCTTTTACTGAATAATGTAAATCATTTTTAATAATTAGTCACAATTTATATTATAGAATATATTAAATAAAATGGATGATAAAAAAATCTTCAAAAACTGAATTCAAATTAGAATGAAGTGCATTTGTTATAATAATTTATTGAAATTTTTATCTTTATATTAATCATAATAGTCATTTTTATTTAACAGACAAGATTTTTATCAATTAAACAAAAGACTAATAGTATCTAGCTGGAGTACCCACTCTAGAAAATATCATTTTTTAACAGACTGATATTTACAAAGTAAAAAAATACTATGTAATAATTTTTTAATAAAATTGTACGTAGACACCTAAAAAAACTTGAAATTTCGATATAAATTATTTAATATTGTCAAAATAAGACCCGTTTTGTTAAATACATTTATGTATTTGTTTAAATCTCTCAAATTAAAAATTTTGGGCCATTGATCATTGCAGGGCTAAACAGATGCATTTTCCCAAGTTGCAATTAAGGCATTCTCAGTTGGAAATAAAATAAAAATCGCAGAGAGCAAGATCAGGACTGTAAGATGGATGTTCAAGCAACGCACCTTGCACTTTCTCCATTTCGAATATACAAACTTTATTTTATAATTTAGAAGGTACATCTCGGTGTAGTACAGTGACAGTGAGTTTTTTTATTCAATATTGTTCTCTTCTATTTCTTTCCTGTCGGAAGTTATATAGTTATTTTTCTTTTGTAGAAGTTCAAATCAATACTTACAATGTAAGTATGTCGAAAGAAATTTAAATAAAATACAATAGTCAATAGTATCTTTGTTATTAATCGAAATATTTATGTGATTACTTTCGTTCAAATTTCAAGGATTTATTAACGAATAATTTTGTAGCAGAGGCGGCTCTTGGCCTAGTCTACGAGGAGGCTGGCACACCCTATATATACAAATATATATTTCTATTAGAATACAATGTAATATTTCTGCTTTTTGTATTGTAATAGAACTATATATTTGTATTAAGTATATAGGGTGTGCCTTTCAAAAGTAGCCTCCGTAGCCTCCTCGTAGACTAGGCTACGATCCGCCTCTGATTTGTAGTGTATTATTTAAATTCAAATTTACCTATTATTTAGTTTTCACTTAGTCGGTAACAATGGTATTAATCGTAGATAATGTCTAATAGGAGACACGCTACATTGCACAATACTAGAAATATTCAATAGGTGCCTATAAGTTTTCATAAAGGGGTACCCGCATTAGCTTTTGTTTTATTTAAGATGTTTGTTAGTTTATTGCTATATGCCTAATTTATACTTATTGTTTAATTATTGTTTATTTGGGAACTTTTTAGTTTTTTAAACAAATTACTCTTTTTATTTATATACAGGGTGTCCCAAAATAGTTGGTACACAAAGCCACAACGATTTGTAGAAATCAAAATAAGTTCATTGGGCCCAATTTATATACAGGGTGAATCCTAAGTTGTTACTTTTTGAGCGTGTATAGAAGTCGTCAAAATAAGCATTTTTTCAAATAGCTTTTTAAAAACTCAAAAATCAATTAAAATCTAAATCTGGGCCTGGACTTGTGTATTAAAATTGAAGCTGTTTCCTATTTTGGATTTTCATATGTATAAATCACGATTCACTGTGTATTGGGTATTGTAAAGTAGTCATTGTTTGTATTATTGCTAAATTTATTTTGTTGCGATGAAATATAGAGATATTTAGATTGTTATGTAGTGCATTGAAATATTATTATACCAAAATGTACCGTTTGTCCGTGAGAAGAGTTGAAAGTTTACTTTAAAAATCACATTTTTGTAAGCTGTTCAGAAATTCGTGGAATAAATTTAATGAAATTTGGCAAAGGTGCGTACTTTCAGTATTCAAAGAAACCCCAACGAAATTGTAGAAGGATTTTGTAAACGGGAAGGATTAACTTATCTTAATTTTTTTACTCTTGTAAAAACTCCGTAT